ATTTGCAAAGGCTGGTCATGTAGTTAAGTGGAGTGCATTGGAGCATCAGTGTGCAGAAGCTCTGAGTACAGGGGTGCTGGTAATGTGCACTCAAGTGATGAGCTCTGGATTTCAGCTACCCTGAAAGAAGAGGTGTCAGACAAGAGGCCAAGTATTTTGTTGCATAAAATGTACCAAGGTGTCCATCTTGTGGCGAGGGCTCTTGACGGCTAGCTAAGCACAAGATTGCAAGGTGTATGAGCAAGTGGGGAGGAAAGGCTCAGCAGGTGGAGGATCAAATGTTTGCACACTTTATTCAGTGGAACTATTATGCCATGGTGGGGAAGAAAATAACTGCAAGCCATTTTGATTTTATTTTGTTCAGATAATTAAATCATATTGTTCACATTTAACAACAACAACAACATTACATTTGTATAGTGCCTTTCACGTCAGGAGGACGTCGCAAGGCACTGGACAGACAGAACTTCGGACCCAAACTGGGGGTTGGGGTCAGGGAGGACGGAGGGCAGGGGGGGAAGCAGGGAGATTGAAAGCTCGGATGAACAGGAGGGTCTTGAGATGGGTCTTGAAGGAGGCAGGGGAGGGGGCGAGGAGGAGGGACTGTGGGATGGAGTTCCAGAGGGTGGGGCAGAGTAGCAAACAACAACAACAAGATTCCATTTATAGAGCGCCTTTCACGTCAGGAGGACGTCCCAAGGCGCTGCACAGTTGGGTCATGACCCGAACAGGGGGGAAATGGTCAGGGTGAGGGGAGGGAAGGGAGGGAGAGAGGAGGGGGGAAATGGTCAGGGTGAGGGGAGGGAAGGGAGGGAGCGAGGAGGAGGAAGAGAGTCGAGAGGGGAGCTGAAGGCACGGTCAAAGAGAAAGGTTTTGAGACCGGCCTTGAAGGAGGAAAGGGAGGAGGCGGCGAAGGCACTGGGGGATGGAGTTCCAGAGCCTGGGGGCTGAGAGGCTGAAGGCCTGACCACCGATAGTAGGGCGGTTGGGGCGGGGAACGTGGAGCAGACCGGAGCCAGAGGAACGGAGGGTACGGGCAGGTAGGTAGGGGGATGGTAGGTTGGAGAGGTAGGAGGGAGCAAGGCCGTGAATGGCCTTGTAGGTGAGGATGAGGATCTTGAAATCAATCCTCTGGGGGATGGGGAGCCAGTGGAGGCGAGCGAGGGTGGGAGTGATGTGATCGCGAAGCCTGGTGCGGGACAGTACACGAGCTGCAGAAGGCCCGACTGCCAATAGTGCCCCCCCCCCACCCTGGAAGTGCTGAATGTGGGCCAGCTTATTGAAGCATTGATAATGCCATGTATTGGTGAGATCTGGTGCTGCCAGCAGTCTGCCGTCTGAAATGCTGTACACTGTCCAGCGCCTTGGGACGTCCTCCCGACGTGAAAGGTGCTATACAAATGTAATCTTGTTGTTGTTGTTGCCGCACTGCAGAGTTCCTGATCTTGGTTATGTCGGTGTGGTGAAGCTCCAAATGCAGACAAGGAGCTTCTCTGTAGAGCCGGTCATCTCTTAGTAACAGCGTTAATTGATGTTGTCGGATGCCTGGATGGAGGTTACCCAACTACGATTAGCGCTTGAAAATGGGAATAGAAAAAAGAGGTAGTGTGAAGAAGGGAGGGTGCATTCCCCTTGTTTATTATCTGCTATTCTGTCACAGCCAGCCTGATATTTCCCCTCGAGAGGATGTCACCTGACCCTCATCCACTTGTCAAAAACACAATCTCAATGTTAATCGTACTCAGTAGATTAAATTCAATTTTACGTGTGGAGGATTCTACTTCAAATAACAGGATTTATTATGAGAATTAATTTCGCTTGATTCTCGCAATCAGACTTTAAAGCTGGAAGTTCATGGCCTTGTCCGTCCTTCTGTTAAATAGACTCCAGCTGAAATCGTTTGATAATAAAGGTCCAACAGGTTCTGTACAATGAGCCTAACTGTAGTTTACCTTATACAAAATAAAGACCCATTTCCAACATAAGCTTCTTATTAATTTATTCATTACTAATGATTTTATTAATAATAATCCTTGCATTTGATATAGAAACTTATCACGTCGTTGAAATGTATCAAAGCGCTTCATAGAATATATTGTAAAGTGAATTGACTGTGTATTTTGTGGGCGAAACGCGGCAGCCAATTGCGCACAGCAAGTGTCCCACAGTCGTGGATTGAGTGATCATTGTTTTAAAAAAAAATTATAATAAATTTATTATTGCCTAATATTTATTTTAATTTAAATGCTGCCTGTTTCTAAATGCCAGTGACTTAAGATTTGTAAAAATGTTGACACAATTTGAATATTGAGGGGCTTTTGTTTGACTTTATTTATACAGTGGTACAACTACGTCTGCTTACCCGTTGCTTTCAGCCATGCAAAAGCACCTGTACAGGTTTGCTTTAACCGTTCGTGTGAAATTACAACCAGTTTAAACAGTGTAGGTCACGATCAGAGTGAAGTGTGCATTCCCAGACAACACCTATTGTTGAAGTGGGTTGTATTCATGTTCGGCATTTAATGTATGGCATTTGCCAGGTGTGGGAACGTCTTTGATCCGTACAAATTAATTCCTCTAATTGTGTATGGAGACCGATTCTTTCACGGGATATTAAATTGGCCAGTTGTATTATTTTTGACATTTTCTTCTGAGCATTGATTGTCACTTAGCTGGATTTGATCCCAGCTCCTGTGAAAACTGCAGAAATCTAAATGCGGTTTTCTGCCTCTATTGTGTGCACGTTGGAAAGGATTTCTTGTGTTTGTGAACTTTACACCTTAGTTGCAATGTAGTTAATTATGCAGTCTGCATCTAATTTGAAAATGTTTGAACTTACAATCTTTCTAGTATAAATCCTTTTATTTGATTAGAGAACCTTGGGCCCTAAAAAAAATGAAGCCTTTTTTGAAAAAAAATGTGGGTAATATTTAATTCTTCTCTCATTATGTTTGAATATTTGTTCATAATAGATGAACTGCACTGGAGATATCTAGTTAATTACCATAATTCCGTCAAAGCACATTTATTTACTTCATTAACCATCCATAAGAAACCTGTGCATAAAATTGACTTTAAACAAAAACAAGATGCGGTGACAATCTTTGCTACAAGAGATGTAATGAGTGTTGCACAAAGATTGGAGGCAGCACGTAACCATTTTCTTTCCCTTCAGCTGCTGATAGTGAAGTACTTAGCTGTATTGGCAGTAACAGAATAATGATAGCTGTATTGTAATAAATTGATGGGCCTTTATTGTATGCTACTTATTTCATTTTACAGGTTTTTCAGAACCTTGGGCATTAATCTCATTCACTGATTGACAGTGGCGGCAAGGGAAAAGAGCACCTTTATTGTTTGTACTAGTCAAATCTGTTAAGACCTAATTCTGCTGAGAGTATTTGCATATTCTTAAGTATTTCTTCTGAGTGGGCCTAAATCCTCCTTGAGTGTTTGATGCATTTTCAAATTCATTCTTAAGGTATCTACATGCACTATTAGTTCTGTATAATGCAGTCAAGCATAATCTCTCAGATAAGGCTGGTCTTGAACAAGACTTTCTATGAAGGATGGCATGTTACATTTCTGACTTATTCTGCTGAGCTCATATATCAACAGAAATGTCAAGTAGTGTACAGCTGACTGTATGAAATATATGCCTTCTAGCAGTGGACATCAATAAGTGCAGAAGGTGGTTTCCAGAATATTAATTTGTGTATTGAAAGGCTAATGTTCCTTTTTATCTTCATTTTGCTCCTATTAAAATTGTTTTTGTGGAGGTAGAATTTGTACTGCACGCTTAACAGAGTACTTTTCACTTTAGCAGATATACCTATAAAATGTATTATCCTAGCTCTTCGTAGGCTTGGTGAAATGGCAAGGCAATTAAAACTGTGTGTTTTTGAAGGTAACTTTTGACAGTTAATAAATCTTCTTTGTTTTGGGGCCGTGTGCATTCTACGGTGATCTGTAAAATGTATTGTCTGATTTTTAAGGATGGCATTTGTAGCATCACAGGCGCATGAATAATGTGTTCATTGTCGAAATTAGGATTACATATTTGTTTTGAAATTTGTGTAAATGTATGGTGAAACTTAAGCAATAGATTTCATGAGTACTTTATATTCATGCTAATGTTAGAAAAGTGAGCAGAGCAAACTCTTACATACACTGTCAATGATTTTCATACTATTTATTGTTGTCTGAACTTTAAACTTTGATAACGTGGAGTCCTGAAGTGTATTGGTTAGAACACTCGCCTCGCAAGTGAGAGGACCTGGGTTCAATTCCCGGGCAGGGTGAAACGTTAGGCAAGTTTCCTTACTCCACACGCCTCTATTTACCTAGCAGTAAGTAGAAACACGGTTGTTAATCGATTGGCAGATCGCTTTTCCGGGGGTAATAATCCCTTTAAAAAAATATATTATAATAATGATTTGGTCACTCAATCCACGACTGTTTGTGGGACACTGCTGTGTGCAATTGGCTGCCACGTTTTACCCACAAAAATATACAGTCAATTCACTTTACAGTTTATTCTGTGAAGCACTTTGAGACATCTTGAAGTCGTGATAAGGCTCTGTACCAAATGCAAGCATTATTATTAGGATTATTATAACGTGTGAAGTATGCTTTGCTGTGAAAATTAATATCCTTTTATAATTATTGTAATAAGCCAGTTTATACTGTAACAGTTTTCAGAACTTATTTAATTGAAGCCGCACCTAAATTCCATTATTGAATAAATTGATAAAAAAATAAACTGACCTATTCAATTAACAGGTAAAAAGATTTGACTAACAAGGGGAGAAAGAGCTGCATTCATTTACATGTAATGATTATAAAATGCATCAAAAGGAAGTATTTACTGCATGCTTCCTCACCAGGAATTCCTATGAATGAAGTGAATAAATGTTTTCTTCAAATAAACCTACCTATTGAACCCGATTTACATGTATTAAAACATATTTACAGATTTTTTTTCCCTCTCTATTTCCTAGGAGTCTCCGTCTGGACGTAGAAAAGCCCTTGCTACCAGTAGTATAAATATGAAGCAGTACGCAAGTCCGATGCCTACACAGACTGATGTGAAATTGAAATTCAAGCCTTTGTCTAAAAAAATTGTTGCTGCCACGCTACAGTTTTCTCTGTCTTGTATTTTCCTGAGGGAAGGCAAAGCAACGTAAGTGTCTTAAGTCTCAAATGAAAAACATTCTTTATATTGCTCTGGTTGCGTTTAGTACCAAAAGTGCACTCCTACATTTATGCTCACTTGGTATTATGTCAATATTGGTGTTCAGTTCGCACTCTCGTGTCAGAGGCAGAACATTGTGGGTCAAACCCCACATCTGGACTTTCAGCTCATAGCTTTGGCCAGCATTCCAGTACAGTGTTTGAGGAGAGTTGCGTTGTCAGAGATGTGGATCTTCAGATAAGACATTAGACCGAGTCTTTGCCTGTTCGGGCGGTTGTTAAAGATCCCAAGGCACTATTCAAAATGAGAAGGGAATTTTTCCTCATGTGCTGGCTGACTATCCCCCAGATAAAATTGTTCACTCACTTCAAGGCTGGGACATTGGTGTGTGCAAATTGGCTGCCATGTTCACCTATAAAATAGTCAATCATTGCACTTTACAGTAAAGTTCTGCAGAACACTTTGAGAAGCCTCAGCAGTGAGATAAGGAGCTATATAAAATGGCGGGATTATTATTAGAAGAAACAAAATGACATTTTGGAGATGACTATCTCGTGGATGATGAAGGACTGAAAAATGATCACAATGAGAAGCTCCGACAGTGTAATAATGGATGGAGTGCAGCGTAGTGACTGGGAGCTTGCTGGTTCAAGTCCTGGTCTGTGCTGAGTTTTCTGTTCTCTGCCAGGCTGAGGGATGCAAAAGTAGAAATCCAATAAAATGAAAAAATCGTAATGCTGGTCTCCACGTCTTTTATGTTTCTCTATAGAAAATCTGTTGAGCAAATCCCTTGGTAGATCTTATCTGAATGTAATATGAGTGGATCCATTCTATCTTTCAGTACCAAATAAGAAATCTAAATATACAGTGATCATTTTAGAAAAAAAAACACTTCTGTGAGAAGCATAGAAATTTAGTAGCTATTGCACATTTGTAGCCACACATCATAAGTGTGTCGGCAGCAAATATTATAGTGTTAATTTCAAATGCAATAAAGACCCATTTATTGTCAATTCGCTGTTGCATTTCGCCCACAAAATATACAGTCAATTCATTTTACAGTATATTCTGTGAAGCGCTTTGAGATGTCTCATAGGCGTGATAGGCGCTATATCAAATGCAAGGATTATTTGTAATGGATTCTAGATTTTGGGATAAATAGGACATTTACAAGAGAAATAATGACGCACATATTTAGAATTATGAAATTTGTGTAAATGTCTGAATGGCTGGATTAACACTACCAAAATTTGCAGCAATTGCCATAAAAGAATCCTAGCTCTGCAGAGACATTCTGTTCAAACACCCTTGTTTATCAACTTATCCTTGGAATATATAATCGCATTCTGTGCTAAGTTGGATGTGAGAATTTGGCTTCAATACTGGTTCCCTTAATAAATATTTCCACCTTTTAAAAGTAGTTTCATGTACCTATTCCACACACTATCAACCAAAAGGGATGTGATTAAGCATTTGATTTTATGTGTAGATGATATAAAATCCAGTTGTTTCTTGTACGTCCCTTTCAATCAAGCCTTTAAGATTACAATTTCTTTTCTTAAGATATTATGTTGTCTCCCCATGCAGTTGAAATAAGCATTTTATTTTTCTGCTAGTAGTCGTGACTTCCTAAATTTTTAGCTGTGCTTACTTCACACTTCAATGTAGATTTTAAAACGTGCATTTACCTTTCCTTTGTATCTTTTAATCATTTCTATTTCTCTGTCAATCCTGCTCCAATTTTTCACCTCTCTTTCCTTTCCCTTATGATTTCAATGACTCGTGCTTGGGTACGTTTCCATGATTGGGCCTTTCTTCATGAGTGAGTCTTAACATTGCATCTTGGCAGGCTATTCAACACAGCTGACCCTCATCCTTTCTACACACTGGCATCTTTCAGCAGGAGGGGATATGATCGTGAACAGGGATCCGAGCTTTCTTACCACCCTAACCCAGGCCAGGGAACTGGAAGTCATTTGCCTTTTCACTGTCAAGATTTTGTACCAAATTGTGGATTGTTTTGATCTGTTGAATTGTGGCTGCAAGGAACTAGTTTAGACTCCCCAAGCTCCATTCACCACAGGAGCTGGGAGAGAGACTTGGCATCCAACCAACCATCTGGGTAGCTGGGTTCATACCAAGATTCCAGAGATGAGAGGATAGTGTCCTGACCAACGCATGACTCATTCCCCGACCATCCGAGGGGTATCCCCAAAAGTATTGCCTCCTTTCTATTTTCTCAAAATTCTTTCATTGTTAACTCACAAATCTTCACATAGACACAAAATAAACTTTTTTAAATACTCCAGTGCAATAATTTTTTCACAAAGTCATCAGTATGATCTACATACGTGAGCCAAGTAGAACCAGTGCCAGTATGCCGTTACGGTAATATGTTGTACAAAAAATTCTGGTTTCCTTGTGAAACACGATTAACATTCGGGGAACCCACCGAGCACAAACTTTACGGTAACCAAGGTTACTGATAATTATCTCATCTAGTCTGATGACCGACTCACAGGTAATTCAAATATCCTTGACCTGTATGTTGTGCAGAGGTACTATGATTTAATTCTGAATTGCACTTAGATGGTACTCGATGAATCTAAAAGAGAGATGACCTGCGTCAACTGTGACAGAGAGATTTGATTGAAACGAATTTTCCTGAAATTAAGATTGTGTCTTTATGTGCCAGATGTGTTGGTGTAGAGCATCATAAGGTCACTGTACATGTACCTGCATGATGCTTTCCTGAAAAATACCTTTTGTGTATCAGGTCTAAAGACATGGCTGTGCGTATGAAATCCATGTGTTGGGACAAGCAAACTTGTTAACTTTGGAGTTCCTTTGGTTGGGGGAAGCGCAGTGATTCCTGCCTGACCCTGGACTGGGTGTCCTGCTTGGTTGGATTGTTGTTCTTGTGTGGCTGTTGCTTTGCAATTGACTTATGTTATACTCGGTGCTTTGAGATGGTTATGTGTTTGTGATTGTAGGTTTGCTTGCGGAATCCCTGGAAAGTGTGTTGGAAAACACAAGAACCAAGATCAGAGTGACGAGATTTATTCCATAATCTAATCAGTTTTTTTTTCTCTCTTTGATAAACAGAGATGAAGATATGCAAAGTCTGGCTAGTCTGATGAGTATGAAACAAGCCGACATTGGAAACCTAGATGACTTTGAGGAAGACAATGAAGACGACGAAGAGAACCGTGTAAATCAAGAGGAAAAGGCAGCAAAAATTACAGGTGGGCTAGGTTTGCTGTATTTGGCAACACTGGGTTGGCAAAGAATACTTAAAGACTTCATTGTGAATTGAAAATTGCTCCCATTGTTGTGCATAGAAAAAAATACTGACGTGGATTTAATGATCACATCCCTTATCGTTATAAAATCTTGTCAACTCATGTAAAATACAGCTTTTTCCCAAATAGGATTTATTTCAACAGATTTTCTGTTTTATTTCATGGGAAATAAATTAACTTCTATAATGGAAACTTTAGTATTGTGTCCCCGCACTGGAATGTCACGTATTGACATATGTAGGACTTTTATCTCATTTGCTTTTGCTATTTTCAATCTGTAATACGGTTGCCAATAACATATTTTTGAAAGGATAAAAGTGTATGAAAGTAAAGGTTCAGTGGTTTATAAACATCAATTCAGAGATGTGTTTCGCCTTAAAACACCCTGTAAAAAGATTACCCTTTGCTATGTTTGGTTTATTGTTTCCATTTTGCTACTGGGAATGTTATAGCAGACTGTAAGGTTAGTTCCTTCTTATATTAACACCTGATTAGGTTAGAAGTGATTATGAATGTATTTTGTTGACTATGTAGGGAAATACTATAATTCTCATGTGTTCATATTTTTAATATAACATTTTTTTTAGATTAACAGTTTCTTGAACTTGTGTTTTGTTAAAGCAAGAAGCTACTCAACTCAATCCAACTAATATCATGATTTAATTAGATGTGACTGAACTCGGATTTATAAACCAAATTGTACAGCTGGAGCTGAGCGATCAGCTGTTTAGAATGGCTTATGTGGCACAAATAATCGCACTGATGATACAGATGCAAGCATCTCTTTGACTGGGATTGGGTTTATCATTTACAGGGGGAGAAAATCACTTTTTAAAAAAAATCTAAATTAATGCTAAGAATTTTAAAACATTCGAGCTTGAAATTTTTCTATAAATTATGACATTTATTCTTGCAGTTGTGTTACAAGATTTATTCTTGTAGCCTTTAAGGTTTAGTTTGGATGGTATATAATAACAATGATAATTCTTGCATTTGATATAGAGCCTTATCATGTCATTGAGACGGCTCAAAGCACTTCGCAGAATATAATTTAAAGTGTAGTAACTGCATATTTTGTGGGTGAAACATAGCAGCCAATTTTTTTTTTGGAAGTAATTATTACCCCTGGAAAGCGATCCGCAAATTGACTACCAACCGGGTTCCTACTTATTGCTGGGTACATCTTGTTTGGCTGAATAGTGCCACTTTTATTTTTAAAAAAATCGAACAGCTCACTAGTTCTGTTATCCAAGCCAAAAACCTAACAATTATTTTGCAGCGTTCCCATCAATGTGCATTTGGTTTGAAAGTTGCAAAGAATGCTCAGGTTTGAAAAGGATCTTTAAAACGCTAACTGTTCCAGCACTGATTGGACGTTTGCATTAGAATAATCTCAATTTTCTTGATCTTTTTCTCTTTTTGCCCCATAGACCTGATTTGTCTTGTCTACTGCTCCTGCTTACCTACCTGCCCTTAGGAATGGTATTGATTCAAAACAGGAAATTGTGAATAAGTTGACTTACTATTCAAGCTTATCCAGTAGCCAAACCAACACCAATGCTACCTTCTAGTAAAAGCAGCTGCTGTAACAGTAAGAAAGTTAAATGTATGAATTTTGTTTTTGGTAGGATTGTCTCTCTCATGTTTTCTGTTTTTAACTCTTTTCCATCTTTATTTGTACTTGTGGTAATTTACTAATTGTATTAACTTCATGAACATCCACTTTTCTCCTCAGTATCCGCAAACACTAACTTTCCACTTTTCTTTCCGCACCCTCCCCGAAAGGGATTGTGTCATCTGTTTGGTTGGGATGGGGGAAGGGGGCTTCTGGGTATGTACTAGCTGAAAAACAGCCAAAACAGTAATGAAGGAAACTCTTTCCAATTGAGCGAGAAACAGTTTCCAATTAAGGATTTAAGTTTTCCACGAATTTGACTGACTGAAAGCATTAAACTGATTATGTTTTAGCAGTGAACTTCCTTGATTCTTATATGATTTGAGAGCTCTGCATTAGTCTCTGTGAAAGGATTTAATAAATACTATTAATGAAATCTCTAATAATATGGTGCCCAGTGTTACCATTAGGATTTTTGAAAACTTGAGACCTAAAGTTTAACCATCCACAAATGTAAATAATTACATGGGAAGGTTGTGTACATTTTATTTTGCTTCAATATCTTTCCTTTTTTTCCCTTCATCCTGATCCATTGATTCATCTTGGGATATTAGAACATAAGAAATTCTAGACGAAAAAAAACTAGGTCCATCTAGTTCGCATGGCGGTCGCATGCACATATATCCCAAACTATCTATGTACTATATTCCATAATGTTATTTCCTAAAAGAAAACTGTCTAATCTGTGTTTGAAAGAATCAGCACTTCCTGCTTTGACCGTCTCCTGTTCCACAGGTTCACTACTCGCTCACTGAAATAGTGTTTGGGTAGATTCATTCTGAATTCTCCCCCCTGCAATCGCAGGTCGTATTCTCTGGTTTTACTATTCTGGACATGTTGAATCAGACTGTCATGATCTATATTGTTTGCCCCGTTAGAATCTTAAAGGCAGCAATCTTGTCACCTTCCAATCTTCTTTTTTTCAACGTGAACATGCCCAATTTACTTCCTCCTGAAAGTCCAGTCCCTCCATTCCCGCAATCATTTTGGTTACCTTCCTCTGTATCTTCTCGATTTCTCCAATATCCTTTTTGTACTACAGCGACCAGAACTGTACTCCTAAGTATGGTCTCACCAATGATTTATACAGTGGCAGGATTACCCCACTATTTCGGCTTGCTATTGATCTTTTGATACATCACAACATCTGATTTGCTTTATTCACTGCCATAAAGCATTGTTGGGAGAGCTTCAATTTACTGTCATTCAGAACTTCCAGGTCCTTTTTATTTTCCATACATATTATTTTCCTTCCGTTCAAATAATAGTCCCTTCCAGGATTTTTTTTGTCCCCATGTGAAGTACTTTACATTTCTCCACATTGAATTTCATCTGCCACCGATCTGCCCAATTCCCAAGTATTTTCAAATCCTCCTGTAACCAAGCTTGTTCAGCTTCACAATCTACCACCTTCATTAGTTTGGTGTCATCTGCAAATTTAGCCAATGTGCTTGCGGCTCGTGGTTCCAGATCATTTATAAAAATATTAAGCAAAAAAGGTCCCAAAACAGACCCTTGTGTAACTCCACTGGTAACATTTTCCCTGTGCCACCATCCTCTGGGTTCGTCCTGGTATGGTTCCACAGGTGCTGGCAGCTCTCCAAATGTTTTTTGTCATTTGTGCAGTGTGAGGGAAGGGTCATTAGAGCTGAACCTAATCTTAGCTTCATCCAATAGCCACATGCACGCTTTCCAGCAGGGGCCACTGGATAGCGTTCAACAGCCTAAACCTATTGTTAGCCCGGGAAACACAAATGCCAGTTAACCCACAGCTGTCCCATTTGATATCACCTGTCCCAACACATGCTTTGGATTGGATTTGGGAACTTCTTGGTCAGTGCCACGTCATGTGCTGGGTTCACTTTCTGAAACATGAGGGAAAAGTGTGAATTTTAATTTTTAGGTGCGTAGGAATTATATCTCTTGGCCCATCAATTATCTTCCCTCTGATAAAATGAAATTTTGTTCTATTCCCAGTTGTCTGTTTGAAGTATGTTGGAATTTAACTGGATACAAAGGTAGATATGCTGAATTCTCTCCTTCCTCTCCAGGAGCCTTGAACATCTTTCCCTCCCTTTCTCCCTCACTCCACTTGCCAACATTTCAACATTGGAGAGCTGTGAATTGCTGTATTACCAGGGCTTTATAGCAAATGTACATCCAAAGTGTTTGGATACCGTAAGGAATCATCTATCATCATTTTCTTCTCTTCTATTGTTGACATGAATCACTATTTTATTGGATCTTTAAGTTGGATGAACAGAATTTAGCCATACGCTGCAAGACACACTCAGGTGGTAGTTTTGCTGAATTTTGATCAGTGTTTTATGACCCGGTTTCACATTGTTGTTGATCATGAGTGATATAATCCCACTAAGCAAGGTGACATTACAGAGAGGCTTGTAATGGCATCCAATCTGCTGAGGTGAAGTGGAGAGGATGGATGGAAAGGTTCTGGTGAAAAACATTGGAATCCCCTCCCCCCGCATCATCAGCAAGTCCTTCGACTATTTAGTTTATATCGTTCCATTGATGGAAAAGTCCAGCTTTGTCTGACAGACAGTGGAGAAAACCTGTTTCTGCTCTTGGACATCCAAATGTGGAGCAACGACATTAAATCGATCTAACTGGACTGCCATTCTTCTACTTCATCATAATTAGAGCAGCACAAAGGCTTTCTGCTAGCAACGTAAGAGTCGTAACTGCACATAAATGTTCATTAAAAGTCCTGGAATACTCTTGGTAAAGCTTCAGACAATTCTCCTCAGACACTACTGTTGTTTTGACAAAGAACTTCCAATGCAGAATTAACTATCACTTGCTGAATTATGACTTTGTGTTCCTCTGTGGGACACTTGGCTTGACTTTGACAGCCTGTTAAGTATAATTTGTCCCAAGTTTTTTGTGCTCTCAGCAACCACCAGTCTCAAAATTCAGTTATCTCTGGTTGCACCCTGAAGGCAACTGGGTCTTAACGATACTGGGTCTTAAATCACAGTGTGTATTGAGAGGCTAAAGCAGATAAATCATAGAGGAAAGGATGGCCGGTAGAGGGATGGGGAAGAGAACGTCATCCAAATGCTTAAAATCATGAAAGGGATCGGAGTGATGGATAGAGTGGTGACAGAAGGTAAAGAAGTGCTTACTGTTCAAGTTCTCCTCCATCCCCCCACCCCCCGACTGTCCAGTGCTTCGGGACATCCTCCTGATGTGAAAGGCGCTATACAAATGTAATTTGTTGTGGTTGTTATAGCAGGGAATCCTTGCTTCTTGGAACCACCAATCTTTGGCTGCATATATCCCAAACTGCTCGATTGAGTTTAGTGGGTGTTGGGCCAGCCAGGGAGCCAATCTTGACTGATCTGAGCTCTGAGCCTTGGTATAATCAGAACCAGTGAGTATGAATTGGCAGTCTACTCCGAAATCTTTGTTATGCTGCACTCAAACTATCCATTAATGACTAGCTTGCACTAGTTCAGGATTGTTCAACCTTATCCAAAAGCAACTCATCAAGGAACGTGGCTGTTGAGACCACCTTGAGAAGGTGGGTTTGGCTTTATTTGAACATACATCACATTGTATAAGTATAGGTGGTATAAAGCCATTCAGAGATGGTCCCTTGATTTCTTGAGCAGTCTAGTGGCATAGAAACAGCGGTTTAAAAACATCAAAATCCTGGGAACTGTTTAGAAGAGAGCTTATATTTCTAAGTGGCTAGAATGTATGACATTGAAACATCTGAAAATGTTTCATATTAATTATTGTCGATTGTAGTCACTGTCTTTCTAAAATTTGGCAAGTGCAGCGGCCATTTTACGATCCCACAAACAGCCACAATATTAAAAACTAATTTGGATGATTATGGACCAAGACATTGAGATAAACCTTTTGCTCCTTTTGGAAAGCGTCATAGGATATTTACCATTGATGTTAAGACAAATAGTTGGGACCTCAGTTTATCAACACACCCGAATGACTGCAACTACAGCGGGACATTCACCCAGTGCTTCACTGAAATACCAACCTAGTCAGTTTACTTACTTCTTGAAATGGGGGCTTGAACCCACAAGTTTTTGACCCAGCGGCAAGAGTGTATGCATTTAGTTGTCTTTGTGCAGAAATGTCCTCATCCCTGGCCATTATGTAAGTATAAACCAAGTCTCTTGCAGTATAAAATTGGGCCTATGAATCGATCAAGAGTGTTCCAGAGTGACTCATTTGCCTCCTTCATGAATCCTGCCTCCCAGTGGCAGAATGCTGAGATCAGAAACTTAGTGTTTGAAGATCCTGCACATGATCATGTGTGTAGATGGGGAAGGTCTGTTTTGTCACCAGACATGCTTAGGGCTGCAATTTCTCAATAGTTTCATTCAAACTGTCTATCTTCTGCAGTACTATATCACGAAATGTTGGTGTGGACGTACACCGTATTTTCTTTTCGTCTTTTTAAGAAGATTGGAAACCTCATCCTGATTTTAAAGCTCTCATATGTAAGAATCTGGTAAATCTATTACAAAAATGTAATCCTTAAGTTTAATGCTTTTAGGCTCATCTGCTCTAAATGTGGTAATGCTAACAAAAATGTAGGATGCTTTCAGCATATCACATGGGTAGAAAATGACTCTGTGACATGTGTATCTCTGTAGCATTTGCGGGTTTTCAAGCAAAACAAGCAGCCCCTTTAATGCATTTTTTTCACGTGACTGGAAAAAGCTCAAGAACTACAATTTAAGAAATACATTAAACTCCTCCGACAAGAATTGCAAATGAGGAATAACATGAATCTGATAAGAAATGTCTTTAGGGAGCAGTTTGCCTCTGTTGCTTGTTGCAGAAATTCCTGACCTTATTATTATTTCAACTGGCTTCTGTTTACAGAGATAGTAAACCAGTTGAATGCTCTGAGCTGCTTAGATGAAGAACAAGATGACTGCCTAAAACAAGCAAATAAGCCTGCAGCTAAATCAACCAATTCTTCTGAAGGTTTACAAGCTTTCTTCCTTTTCTGTCTTGCTCTGCTTCTGTGCTGTAGTTGGTGAGCTGTAGTGTTCTGTCACTTTATCAGCTTTGCTTCAGCCTAAATTGTTTTCTTGCATCTGCTGATATGCTGTCTTGTAATTTTATGCATGTACCAATGCTTTTCCATTTGTTGTCCGTGTTGCCAGTAATATGTGTCATGGGCTTCTTTCCAAACCCATGTAGGCAACTACTTGGGATACAGAGTTCAGCTACATATAAGTTTTTATCTTGCACAGGTCTAAGCTCGTGGATTTGAGCTACAGGTTCATGTTTTTTTTTTAAAAAGTGTAGCTCACTGAATAACCTGTTTTTCTTGTTTTGTTATATTCTATGTACCATGGGTAAGTCCCTAAGCTAACCAGAGTAATCACAGCGTAACCTAACGCTTTGACCTTTTAAGGTAGAAACATGTGATCTTTCTCCCCCAGCACCTTTCTACACCATTATGCTACATTTTAACTTCTACATCGAAATCTCCATTCCAATTTCACTGAACCTGAATTTGCTCTAATGTTCAAAAGAGTAAACCAACTTCAGCTTTGAAAGCTGCCAGTGAAATCAGCTGTAAGACTCTTGCTTTCTTTAAGTTTTTTTTCCCCCCACCTCTTCCCATTTGGTTATTTCATACAGGGCCTCAAACCAAGAGAGGAAGTGATCTGAATCCAGGTCTCTGCCACTGCTTCTCTGAAACCAATTCTGTGCCCACCTGTGAGAGAAATGTCTTCCCCAAATTAATCCAACTAAGTTTGGAAACTAGGAAAATGAAGAATGATGGACCTGCTCCCGTGTTGTCTTGTTCTCTGGTGCAATAATTCACTGCAGCAATAATACATTGCACCTCAGGTCTGTTGTGTTAACACACCACCCTGAGGTATAGCAATTATAGAGACGATTAGTTTATATTTGTGTATTAGTACAGTTGCAAAATAATTTTATAGATATGACCAATTCTAGTATGCAAGGAAGCACACCACAAATGCAAAACATTCAGATAACCGGGCTTCAGCTTCAAGCATTAAATTCCACGTGCTTGTAAATAAATTACTATAAGCTAGTTTGCAACTGCAAAGCTATTAGCAAGACTAATGGGATGTGAGAGTTCAGTGCAAGAGGTTTAGAATATAAAAGCAGGGACGTACAAGGTACTGGTGAAACTGTACTTAATTGCATTCAGTTTGGGGCACCTCGATACACAAAGGATATACGGGAGTGAGAGGGAATGGACTAAACTTACAGATGAGGCTAGGTATGTTACAGAGTATTCTGTGAAGTTGAGGAGCAATTTAATTGAGGTATTCAGGATTCAACAAATAGAGATCGTTTCTCCTGGTCGGCCAATAAATTACTGGAGAAAAAATGAGCAGACGTGTTTAGGAATGAGGCATGAATGAATTTTGTAGAATGTGAAGAGATTATGGAATGCACTTCCGTAGATGAAAAATGGATTGCGGGATTCAAGAAAAAGTTAGATACTTGGGGAATAGAAATATTAGATATACTGTAGTGAGAGAGTCAGGAAGTGGAATTTGGAGAGGTGTGTAATACCATGGAATGATCCGTGGTGGATTCATCCTTCAAATTGAATGGGCTCTTGTTTCTAACACAAGTCCTAAGTTTGAGAATTTGGGGGTAACAAATGTGGATTTTACTTGCAATGTAGTGGACTTAAACCTGAATGCTCTTGTTAATACTCTTTCTTCCACCCCTCCCCCCCCCCCCCCCCCCCCCCACCCAATCTCCAACACTGTCAGTGATTCCCAAATGCTTTGATTCAGAAGGTTTATTACTGCACTTGGAAGTGTTTCTCGGATGGTGCATAAAAAAACCCTAAACCTTGAATTAACATGGATTTCAAACATCTTTCAGCTGTTCCAGGAATTGTACTTAAACCCAATCTGAATACATGTAAACTATTTGTGTTATTCATCTGTTGTTAAAAACAGTAGATTACATCTCTTGGATTCCAGGTTTATCAAACAAAACCACTGGTCTCATCTTATTATCTCAAATTAAAATAATAATCCTTGCAAATTGGTTATCAATTCACTTCTTAAATTTTACCTACGATACTGCCAGGGCTTCATATGGCCAAAAATAAGTCGTTATCTTTTCATCGGAATCTGATGGACAGATTATGGAAAGCTTCTATGATAAATACAATACTTTTTCTTATCCACAGTTTATATATAGCTCTGATAACTGGTATGGAACCAGTAACAATTAATGTACATTTCATTGGCGCATACTGGGTTAGACTACAGAATGCACAAATTTTTGCACATTTTACAGAATCTTAACATTTCACTGCAAACGGAATATGCAGATTGTTAAAGTTGTCCTACGTTATAATGTTGCTGCTACTACAATAAAACTTACTCATGGTATTTGGGGTATAATAAAATATAGATTTGCCTTTAGGCATTGTAGTTGTCATTCTTCAGCCAAAGGTATACTCCACTTATCATACTTCACAGTTGCCTTCCCGATGATCATTAAACTTCTTGGTTTAGTAGGCTGGTGTTGAATTGTTCCCTCTGAGTATTAATTTAACTGGACCTTATGCATTTTTTATAAATAATGTAAAAAGAATGAAGGATGCCCTGTGGTATTTTAATGTAATACAGAACAATCACATATTCTGTTTTGGGAGACATGAGGCAGGTGTCTAATGTATTTAGGGGAGGGCTTGGCAGGGTCATGTTTCTAGAGTGTCTTTTAATTTGAAGAATGATTATAATACCGAAAGGCAAGTACAATATTGGAACAATTTTATACCCATAGTATTCTCAGTTTATACACCTTTTTTTAAATGGTCCCACGTTTTCATACTCTTTCTGGTGATTTAGTTCATTGCAGTAGGACTCTGTTGTAAGGCAGCAGTTGGGGTTTATAAAATACCAAACCGTCTTATAACAGAGCGAGATCAAGATCCCAGCACCACAGTGTCAGCAATTCCGTTGCAACATTGTGAATCAAAGGATCAGTGATGTCGCTACTCATGCATGCAAAAAGCTGGTTAGCGCATCGTGCTTGAAGTTGCATTGTCACACTTCAAATGTGTCGTTGCATTTTAAATGGAATTGCTGCACTGATGCGTTTTGAAATACGACAGTGGGATTTCAAGCATGATTTGAAGTGTGGCTGGTTGGAGTAGGGGTAGTTGGATGTCGGGATTTGGGATTTTTAGGTAAGAAAACGTCAGGGTCCAAAACCCAATCACGTTACAAGTGAACTCACATTATAATCGGGTTCTTCTATATTGGTAATAGTGTGATTATATTGTCCTGTTTTCAATGCCAGAAAGCAAAGGTAGGTAGTCTGAGGAATCTACAAATAAAACAATATGTTACACTGTTCTTCGATCCACAGTCTTAATTGTTCCTTTTGGTGAAGAGCACAAGATTAATGGTAGAACCTTTGTTGAAATATTTATTTATTTTTCAAGATGTATTTTCATGTTTGGAAAATGTTCCGAATTTTCTCCCTGTGGTTCCTCATGGCAGACCACAGACTCCTGCCACCAAGACGTAGGGCAAATGGCCTGTGGCAGACCATTGCCTATACCACTCTCGTTGGGAGCCAGGATCAATTAATTTCTCACTGATGCTGCAAGGAAATGACTCCTCAACTCAGTGTCTGCGTTCACTCCAGTAACTACTTAATTCTAGTAACTACTAGTGAAGATTTCAATCTGTGTCCTCCCACTCTGTGTATTACACATTGCCATTTCAATGTTTGGTGTCCTTGTACTCTTTTTGTGTATGTTATATTTTACAATTTTAGTGTACGGTGGATTGCATTTAAGTAGGAGCTCTGGTAAGCCCAGATACATTTTAATATTGTCTTGTTCTCTTATTGTTGATGCCGTTTCATTCCACGCAATCATTTTTATTTCCTTTGGCAAATAGTTAACTTCAACAGCACGCCATTGAATTGTTCAAGAAATGTTGTGGATGGCACTTAAGATTAATTGAAATATAGTTATCCATTGCACTGTATCTCATTTGTTTTTAATTGAATGAATGTCTGAATGCCAATGGGTTAAGGAAATGTGCGGTGTTCAAAAGGATGCTTATGGTTAGGGTGGAGCTCTTCACATAGTGGTGTGAGAATGGTAGGATTAAAAAATTATAACTGGACCTTTTTGCAGAACTTATAAATAAACTAAATTTTTTGGAAGAGGAGGAGGAGAATCCATCTATCACAAAACTGAATACATTCGACGAGCTTAATACAGAAGGAACAAATCCATTTGAAGATCCTGATGAAGATGTTAATATAGAAGGTAAGAAGGTTTATTGTCTTCTATGTACAGGAGGAGGCAGTCCTGGCAATGTGGGAGGTCGGGGATGTAGTGATTATAGCTGAAAACAATTCAGAACTGGATAATCTTAAAATAATCATCCTTAAATTTGATATAGCGCCTTATCACGAATTCTAGACGTTTCAAAGTGCTTCACAGAATATACTGTAAAGTGAATTGGCTGTTTTGTGGGCGAAAACATACTTTATTTTCTCCCCCTCCCCACACACAACCATTGTTCGTTGACCTTATGTGGTTAGTTAAACTTGATTAATATCCCATTTTCAGCAAATAGAGTACTTAATATAATAGCGACGAGTGTTTACGTGTTTGATATTTGTTTGGTATTTATATCTTCATTAACTTTGTTCGCAGACAAAACCATCAGAATATCACCAGTGACACGACCAGCTGAATCCTTCTATGACAATGATCCTAATAACCCTTTTAATGAACAAGGGGATGAAAACTCCATAAATCCATTTGAAGAAAATGATCCTGAACTCGGCAGAACTTTAGAAAATAAAGCAAAAATGACAGAAGCTCCAAAACCAGCTAAAAGACAGAATGTCAAGCCTGTGGACATGAGCAAGTATCTCTACGCTGAGACAACCAAGACTGAGGAAGAGGAATTAGATGAGTAAGTGACTAAAATTCTTAGCCATCAAATTTCAACCTATTTTTGCATTCCTAATAGCAAACATAGGATCACATCAAGAAACTTAAGGGTGACATCTTATGGATACCCTTAAACATTCGATGATGCTGAAAGAGATCATTACCTGGTTGTTGGCCTATGTAAGCTGAGTTTAATAGTTATTAAAAAATCATATAGTCAGAGCATCCAATTTCATGCACCTTAGTTTTGTCAATTAAGTTTCCAGTACGTTTCTTCTATAAACTGCATCAAAGGAGATGGTTGCATGAATAAATACTGCAGTTTAGTTGTATGAAAGCTACTTCAGTAAGTTTTTAAAAAAAATAAAGTATTTACATTTTTCCTGCCCCCATGTCTGGACGCTGTCGTTTTCTTTAAATTGGAGTGTGGATAAGCTAAGCGCAGAATTCACTGTGACTTCAGTGCTAATGTGATTCAATCCACTATAAAGAAAGAGTAATTTTACTATAAGGAAAGACTAGTTTTATCAGAACTGTTGTTTTGCTAAGATGTTACACTACTGTGAGGCATTTATTTATTTGCAGATTCCCTACTAACCTGCCCGCTCCCTGTGTTCAGCGGGCTCCGGGCTGCTCTATGTCTCCCGCCCTACCATCGGTGGCCGGGCTTTCAGCCTCTCTGCCCCCACACACTGGAACTCCATCCCACAGTCCCTTCGCCTCGCTTCTTCCCTTGCCTCCTTCAAGGCCAGTCTCAAGACCCTCCTCTTCAATCGTGCCTTCGGTCACCCTCCCACCTCTCTGCCATCCCTTACCCCTACCCTTCCCCATGTTCGGGTCCTAATCCCTGACTGTCCAGGGCCTTGGGACGTCCTCATGACATGAAAGGCACTCTATAAATGTAATTTTGTTGTTGTATTTCAACATAAAATGAATGAAAAAGCTCCCGAATGTGCTTAGCACAATTGATTGTCTGACAACCCTATGATTCTAACTTGTGAATCAGGAATATGAGATGAGCATGGTAGGTTACATGCTATAAAACTCTCAAAGCAGTATAGAGGAATATACAATATTAATACCTTTTTTGAGAAGGAACTTTCTCCCTTCCTCTCTCCTTTCCAGGATGTGTAACACTGGATGAGTGTACCTGCCTTAATTGTCAATGAATTGCTTGTTCTGCTCAGCAGGTTCTCCGGGTTTTGCTCAGGTAATTGGCTGCCAGTAGTGTCACGTTCCATCTCAAGAGGAAGAAATAATTATTGGTTGTGACCTATTGAGTTTTATTTCGTATTGTCTAGTCATTAAAAAGCCGTCTTCCCAAACTATCTCCCAACTGAATAAGGTAGTGAGTAATACTACCACTTAAGGTGGATATTAATATAGTTTAAAAAGAGACATCAGTGGTATTAGTCAATGGTCAACATTGACCTTAGTCCCTCTCTTGGAAAGAGGAAAATCAGGAATGTTTTCTACTCCTCATTGCTAACTGTGACATGCTGAAAAGTACAAATGTATGAATATTGTGTGAGGTCAGGTTTGGGGTAAGCTTTAATACCCCTTGTAATTAAATAGTTTTCTAAAATTATACATATTGGTTAATTAATCAGTAAAATTTATCTTACTTATTGTAAGATTTCTGCAGACATGTGACTATTTCTTTGTTGTTCTTTACTGCTCCTTATAGTTTGTCATTGCACCAGTTACCACTTTTGCTCATCCCAGTGAAAATTAATAAAATGATCAAGCTTTGTTGTGTCAGACTGAATAGAAACCATTCTGACGTTTTCATGAAGAACAATTCCTTTTGGGGGATCAACTATACTTAACTTTTTTGGTATCTTTACACTTTTTCTAAACTCTTTGAGTGGCAGCGAAAGGAGTATTCCTAAGAGGCTTTCTGTCAGCAAGTTCAATTTTGACCCTTCATCCCTATCTTTCAGTTAGATACCTTGATCTCATTTGGAGTTCATGAATGACAGATACATCTGGAAGGCAAGTTCCAGAACTGACATGAGATATACGCTGAAAAGTGCCTAGTTGTTTGTTTCCTTGTCAAGTCCTTTACCATTGAAAAACAGAAGTTGATGAAGTATAAGACACAAGAGCAGGCTAATTGTTTAATTGTGTATTTTGAACCTTCAGAGTATCATCTTGCTTCCTAATGACTGAGTCTACTCTGTTGAAGTGTTCTTTTCTGCCATATAACACTTTCTCAGTTATTTTGAATTAACATTATAACATTATATATTATATAACATTATAACGTTATACATTATAACTGGTATCACTTTTTGAACTGTTTTGGTTTAAAAAAAACTATTAGCTCATAATACATTTTTCTCAGACTTTTTCAAAGGGACTTTTGTAAATGTACTTTTTTTTACTCTTTAAATCCTGAATGATTAGTCTCATTCTATAAGGATTTTTATTTTCTTCGATGTGAAAGATAGCAACAAAATCCTTCACCTTTTTTGGTTTGGGAGGTTAAATATTGCTCAGGTACACTGACTGAAAGGACAAGGGCAGATTTTGTATTTTTCTACTGAAAAGATCCAACTAATAGAACATTCTTTGGAGCAACTGCAACGTACTCAAAATCACAAGTAATACCTAGGCATAGACTTAAAGATAAGACTTCAGCATTCAAATAAAATGTTCCTTAAGGAGAGTTGAACGGGATTATCTTTTAACCTTGAAAACGCTTGTTATAGCAGTTGTGTCATAGCAGCACGTTAAATTGTTTGTTCAGCAGATTAAGGGTTCAGTGAGTATATTATATTTGATATTATTTTTGAAACCTATTCAAAGCGATTAAGATTACAGGCAAAAGTTTTTTTTTGAAAGAAAAATGGTTTTGGGATATGTATTTGTTTTTTTTAAATAATTCTGTTTTAATTAGATCTAATCCGTTCTATGAGCCGAAGGCATTACATTCTACACGGAATCAAGCCACATTAGTGACAACTTCAGTGCATCAGCCTGAGGCAGACATAAAGACAAAGAGGAAAGCTCCAACACCTCCAGTACCTGAAAATAAATCCACACCAAAGACAGAAACTGTAAAGATGGATGTCAAACTCGCTGCTGTGAAGGATCTGTCCACATCACCAAAGGTCAGCAACTCATTTATTATCATCAGTTTATTTTTATCATCTGTTAAACAAAACCTTAGGCAAGTTTTCCTACTCCACATGCCTTTGTTTACCTAGCAGTAAGTAGGAACCCGGTTGTTAGTCGATTGGCAGATCACTTTCTGGGGATAATAATCCCTTCAAAAAAATAATAATAATTTGGTCACTCAATCCACGAGTGCTTGTGGGACACTGCTGTGCGCAACTGGCTTCCACATTTCGTCCACAAAATACATAGTCAATCCACTTTACAATATACAGTATTCTGTGTATATAAATATATACAATATACAGTATTCTCACCTACATGATAAGGCACTATATTCAATGTAAGGATTATTATTATTATATTCTCAATTGAAATCAGAATTCAGAGAATAACTTGGAGCCTTTTACCTGACCATTCAAAGATTTTTAAATTCTTCTAATGAAAGTGATTTAAAAGTGAAAAGTAGCCAACTGGACCCATTAAAATCTGAAATCTAGCAAACCATCGAGTCACTAGGGTTACAAACTTGCTGCTTGATTGTTGTACCGATATAAGGAAGCATATGTAGCTTTGTGAGTCGAAAAAAATGAGATTGCTTATTTAAATTTTGTTCCTGAACCTCATTTAGCATTTTTACATATATATAGTATGTAAAATCCATTATTCATAATATTAGTTTTAGCCTCAACTACTATTGAGTTGAGTACGATGTAAGTTGGAGTCAAATATTTTGCAACTCTGTGATAATTCATTAAAATACTTGTTATGCTCCAATTTTCAGTCTCTTTATTGGAAGAATAGTTTTAAAGGCTGTAGTTTGTATTTTTGTGCAGCATAATTTTTTTTGTGTAAGCAAAGAGGTTCACAGAATAACAAGTCACCACTTAATCAGGTTGACCATGCGTAAGAATAAGCTCCCGGATCCTCATGAGAACATTACTCGAAACTAGAGGCCAAGTCAGCGACAACTGCTTTTCCACCTGTCAGCAGCAAGTTTACACTTCGGAAGAAGTGTAGCATTCACTTTTTTTTTATCTGGGGAATATATATGGTGTGTGTTGGGGGGAGTGGGGGGATTGAAGAGGGAGAGAAATGTAAAGTGTTCCATTATAAAGTACAGACCGAGCTACCAAATGAATTTCATCCACTGTTAAAACAAATACCATTGAGTTGGGTAAGTGGATGACAAGAATACACTGAGACAGTAGGGGTGTATGTTATTTTTCATAGCTGTACGTTTTTTATGCTAGATCTAATGCACAGAAGGAAGAGTTTTCCAATCATGGATCAGCCTGTGTGTAACTGAGACTTTTCAGTCTGTGAAAACATGTTGAAATGTTTATCAAAATTAACTAATAATAAAATAATAATAAAATAGGTTGACAGGTAGAAGATAGTGTAAAATTGAAAATAACGAGAGAATAGGCAAGACGAACAAATGGAAGAGAGGTGACTGTGAGCAGAGGGCACAGTTTAAATCGGGTTTTTCTCAGGGTAAATAAACACACTATTTGATCATTAACCACTGAGCGAATCATAATGTTATATGTCTGCATTCAATAAAATCATGATAGCTGTTCCTATAGTCATACTCAGTTTTTCTTCCTCTGTTTGATGAATTTACCCAACACAGGAACATCCCCCATAGCTTTGATTGTTTTCAATGGTAAGTGTTTAATCATACAATTCTTGTTTTTTTAAAAAGGCCTCAGACTCTGTTTAATTCAATTAGAAATCCGTTTGTAAAAACCTGACCACTTAAGACAGATGGCTAATTTGGAACTAAAGCGTTGAACTCTAAGCTATTAAAGATGAGCTTAATTTGCAGTCTTGACCTTTATTAGCACTTAGACTTGCCCCGGGGAGTAAGTTTAGTCAGTCTCAGATGGAACAAAACTGACTGAGTGTGTGTTTTACTGCACTGTTCAAGAATACCTAGTAGCTTTTTGTCCTCTAAATTAAAGATAACATTAATTTGAAGGTAAGGGTGATGCTATAGCTTGTACAGAATTCATTGCTTAAAATAATCAACAGTTTCACAATAAATAACCATAGTGCAAGTATTTTGCTGGACACTGTTAAGAAATTAGAGTTTGATGGCATTTTGAACAATTAAGATGTACACAAATGAAGTCCTATTGTTTAAATGTAGTGCCCAATGTGATCATGAGTTGTACACATCAAATACATTCTGAGGAAGCTGATCTCAGGATGGCTTAAGTCGTGCCAAGTTTCTTCTCGGTGTGGAAATAATCATCCAAGGTTCCTACTACCTCTGTTCTGACAGGTATGGGTGTATGTTGTATTTTTGGGGCAGGACATTATCAGGCGTGACTATGAAGTTCCTTTCCCATGGGTCAACAAGAATCACTGTCACACAGCAGGGATAGACATTTGAGATACCAGAAGCTGCTGGAATCTGCAAATTATACCTCAGCAAGAATCGGTACTTGAGGGAAGGAGGGGAAAAAATTGGGGACAGAAGAGATCTCAAGAGCACGTATTGTAGAATAGTGTTACTTATCGCTGTGCAAATGAATTGCCACAAATACCACTGAGTTATATTAACATCTTGGGGCGCTCTCCTGACGTGAAAGGCGCTATATAAATGTAAATTTGTATTCTATTGTATAATAATCTATATCGTAATTTCTTATTAATTCTGAAAACATTTTAGGTTAAATGTAAGAGATTCAACTGGATCGGAACAGATACTGTTCAGGTTTAGGGTGTTAGCGCGCGCAGAGGCGAATACAGTAGAACATTTCACCTGAGCCATTCAATCCTGTGTGCTCGAGCACTCTAAAATTATATAAAGTGACTGTTCCATTTATTCTGGTATAAAAAGTTTTCTGAGATATAACTGGTAGACTAGCTACGATGATTACTGCTGTGGGTTTTCAGCTGTGTTCGACAGTACTATTTTCAGAGTTTACTCCATTTGTTGAATTCAGGATGACCTTTGCATGAATAAAGCTAAATAGGATTAAGAGAGGCATTTGCAACAATGGAAGGAGCAACAGACGTAACTGACTTTGAACGTGGAAGGATTTTTGATGCATAGCAGCCTGGAGGCAGCGTTGTCAGTGTGTCTAAAGTGACAGGGAAGATCGAAACAACCATTTAAAAATACTAAATGTATTAAAGAAAAGAGCACATCATACAAAGTATAGGAGGAAAAGGAGGGCACTTCTGATGTGTAGTGAAGAACAGGCATGCATCCTTATTAACTGTCCACAAAAGCTTTAACAGGCCTCAGGGAGCTGAGTCTGTGTTTATATTGTATGAAGAACTTTGCATGCAGTGGTTCAGGGACTGAGGTGTGTATTTAAGTAACTATTAAATAGTGTAATGCCAAGACAGTACAGCTTGAAATGATGGCTAAAACTGTTTGAATGGAAACCAGCAAGGTTTCAGGAGTGAGCAGTGGAGCTTCATAACAACCTGGGGACAAAACCAGCAAACTGAATGGCTTCTTTGCTGCTATTTACATTTGCCGAAGAAGCCAAAATAGCATCAATCTTAAATTCATTGTTTTATTGTGTATTAATTAATATACATTCTTTGCACTTTTCTCTTATGTCCGTCACCTCCAATTAGAATCATTGTGTCTGTGCCGGCTCTTTGAAATGAGCTATCCAATTCAATCCCACTCCCCCACTCTCTCCCCATAGCCCTGCAAACTTGTCTTCCCCAAATAATTATCTACTTGACACTTAAAAGTTGTTATCGAATCGGCTTCCACCACCCTGTCAGGCAATGCATTCCAGATCAGAACAAATCTGTGTTGTATGTGTAAGCAATGGTTTCCCATGTACACCAACATTATAAAGAATGCTGCTATAATGTTGGTGGACATGGGAAACCATGGCTTTTAGTATCTAGTTTTCACAGACATAGAATTGCAGTACTTTTGAAAATGTAAAAAAGCATCCTATTTATTGGTGATAAATATTGTTTAAAAGCTATGTTTTGTTTCTCAGCAAAAAATAGCATTTTTCAATATTTCAAATTTGTTGGATTTTAGTTGTAAAAAATTGTCTGAAATTGCCTAAAATGATTTTTTTGAAGATGGTTGGTGGTGTATCCCTCGTTTAATGTAACCATTCATTCGAACACATCATCATCACTCAGTGTCCCGGTGGCAGAGAATCTAAGATGCTCTCAGTCAGTGATTTCAGATTTGAGTTCCACAAATGGTAAGTGTTGAAAATGTGCAAGCTCTCATGTACTGAGCTTTATCGGTTTTCAGTGGAGCCTCTGGCACTTCAGGAGACTTTACCTACCTTAACTGTACCTCCCACTGGTTAAGCCACTCAACAGCAGTAATGTCTACTTTCCTCAAAACTGAAGGAAGGATGTGTGGAGATGAGCGTCACTGAAAGGGGACAACAATGCCATTCAAGGAATAAATAGTTAAAACTGCAGTAAACCACAATTGCTGCAATTATTTTAGCAGTCGCACAGACCAGGTAAAGAAGTTGTGTCAGTTCTGAAGATCTTTTAGTTGTGAAGTGGTGTGTAAGTTGCTTAACATTTTGTCTGTGTACTGACATTTTGAATCGTCTTGATTTTTGCTCCTGGGTTCCTACCTATCAGAGAACCAGAATCCAGGGATGAAGAGCCAGAGGTCAGCGTCATGAGTGCACAAAGCTTGTAGTACTGATCGGGCTCCCTGCGGTGCAAACTATTAATGTCTTCAGTGAAAATGGTGCTAGACGGGGAAAAAAACTAACAAATGGGTTAGTACTGATGGATAATCAATTTACTGTAATGATTTGTCAATTTGGGGCAATGCAGCTTTTAACAGAATGCTTGTACCTATTCAAGATTGCAACTTGGGAAGTTGGAGGAGAGGACTTTTCTCCCAGAACATTGTCAGGGGTGGCTATAGAGTCCAGACATTTGGGGTATTTTTAAAAAAAATGAACAAGAGCATGAGGAAAGGAATTCGTAGTACAGGGAAAGAGCAGGGATGATGATGGCAGGCTTC